CTTAGCTGTTGTAGAAAATTTGAACAAATATTTCGAAACCACCTCAGGGTCAGGAGGAAATCTTTAAGTGGTCACAAGTGTTTAATACTTTCTACCTGAGTTTTCTCTTTTTTTAAAAAAAGGAATATGTAGCATAAAAATGCTAAGGAAGACAGTAAATAGTGTATCTTGATGTGACAAAAGTCCCTTCTGATGATCTGGCTCTACCTAAGTTTTCTTTTTAAGAATATTCAAAGTAAATTAAGGGATATTCACACCACCCATGAGAAGGGACTCAATGATTCATTATTGTTAACACATTTAGCCACATATGTCAAAATTGTTGAAATGTTATTTTCAGTATTGACATTTGTTGGTGATGGATTGATGCCATTATGTGGAATGTAGTTTGAAAGTCACTGAGCATCCTCTGAGGGATAAGAGATACATCTGCTTTGACAAACATGGAAACCCTGAAATTGTTTTTTTTTTTTTTTTAAGATTTTCTGGGAAAAAGAAACTTTGTGAGCACAAAAACTGGTGTAATTGGGAAATAATTCAAGACTCACAAGAAATGTATAATTTCACACTCATGGCAGAAAATTACTTAAGGAAGAGAAGTGTCAACATTCTTTTTAACCTAACTCATCGAGGTAAGANGCTCCTTCACTGAGATGATTAGCTCCTTGAATTACATGTATGTGTGTGCATGTGCATATTCTCATTTCTTATGTAAACCTAAAAACATGTTTTTATTTTGTTTGGTTTTAATGTATTGCAGGGGTCTTCAAAAAGTTCATAGAAAGATTCGTATTATCTCTTAATTCATTTTTTCATGAAATTTTTTAAGTACCCTTGTATAAAGGATGTCAAGCTATAAGTAATAATCTAGTAATTATTTTCATATGGTAACATATTGTTAAGATTTGCCCATATTGTTGAGTGTTACTGTAGTCTATTCATTTTTACTGCTGTATAGTATTTCATTACGTAAATATTCAATATTTCATTCATACATTTCCTTTGATGGATTTTCAGGTTGTATCACGGTTTTTGCTCTTAGATATGGTGTGAAGTACAGTGTGGTATATGTGTGTCCACTGCATATCGACAATTGTTTTTCTTGACATTGTACGTAAGAGTGGAATTAGTGGGGACATAGAATATATGAATGTTCAGCTTATGAGATAATGTCAAATCATTTTCCAAAGCTGTTGTACCTGTTATACTCTCACCCTATGGATTCACATATTCTCTTTGAGCTTTATCATCATACAATCGAATGGCTATAAGTGGTATCTCATCTTGGTCTTGATCTACAGATCTCCAAGGTTGAATCTCTTCTTGTGTTTTGACAACATCTTTTATGAAAAGCTTGTTCAAGCTATTTGCCCATTTTTCCATGAGTGGTTTATGCTTTTTTTTGGTAGGAGTTATTTATAGATTCTTGATACTGATCCTTTGTTGTTTTCTCTACTGCTAATATCTTCTTCCAGTTTGTAACCC